GTATTAGCAAATCAGATAGGGTCACATGCTGCTCTTGTTGCATTATGGTAGTAACTTGCCTTTTTGTCCCATGACCAGTCAACAGTGTGTACTAGCATGAAACAGTGGAACAATGCGTTGTCGCCTGCCAAACTACTTAGAGAAAATGTTTTATTGGTAACATATGCTGCTTTTGAAATGTTTTGTCTGCACTTGGATGATTAGTTGGAATTTTAACAGCCCAGTCCTGTGAATGTTTACCCAGAAATCCCACCAATTTCAGTGGGGCATATGTTCAGGTAAATCTGCATTTGACAAAGTCTTATCTCGTATTTGTGTCAAGCTGCTCCAATCTGCAGAGTTTGACCTTAACTACTTTATCTAAGGACAGTTTCATATGCTATGTTGTAAAATTAGTAAGTCTACAGATTGTAAAATTCATTGGGGTCAGGAACCTGTAGTCTCATGCATTGTGAAGCTTTATATATATTTGTTTATTTATTTGATTAAATTTATATACTGCCCTTCAGCTGAGGATCACAGGGTGGCAAAATCAGTATTTGTTTTATTTAAAACACATATCTATCTTTTTCACAAAGTGAGTTCAAAGTGATAAAGAACAAGAGATCCATTATAAAAATGTGGAGTAGTGGTTGGATCTGGGAGATAAGGGTTGAAATCCCTGTTCAACCAGGAAGATCACTGGATAACCATGGGCCAGCTGATGTCTCTCAGCCTAACCTCGATGGGTTGTTGGGAAAATAAAACTGCTTATGCCACCTTGAGCTCCTGGGAGTTACAGGTGACATATAAATAAAATAATAAAAATTACAACCGATAAACACCAAATAAACATCAGTAACAGAGGTAGCGTCACTAAAATAAAACCAAGAGAGCAATAAGTAAAAGCCTTCTGGAACAGCAAAGTCTTTGTCAGACTGTTAGAAGGGGGAAAAGTTTATGAATAAATAAACGATATTATATTTCGCACTCTGAGATCGGAATTCAGAACAGCACTGCCTGTAGGTGCCTATCGCACTCGCCAGTTCCTATTCTTCCCCGTTGGTAAATGTTTTTGGCTTTTGTCAGGTGACTGTTCTTACGTGCTCCTGCTTCTCTTCTCCAGAGTTATACCACAGCAAATCATTTCAAAAATAATAATAATTTATTTTTGGTGCGGAGGAAAGGCGTTTGCGATAGACAGCCTTTGTGAATGACGTCATTCTCGGCGACTGCGGGAAAGGCCCTTTCCTTCCCCGGCGCCTTCTGGAACTTTCGTGTCGGCGAGGAGCATCGGTTGGGGCTGGCGCCGGAGCTTGGCGGGCGGGGGGAGGCAGCGCAATCCATCTCCATCGGGGGCTCCAGAGGGGCATCCGGGGTCAGTCATGCCGGAGAATGCGGGCACGAAGGGCGGCCTGGCGGGCGCGGGGAGCCGCAGCTCCGGCGGGAACCGCGGCTCCTACCAGGACAGGGACAAGCCCACCCAGATCCGCTTCAGCAACATCTCGGCGGGGAAAGGTAATGTCGCGGCCCAGGCCGGGGAAGCGCCCCTTGGCCCCAGGCCGCGCGCGGGGGGGGGGGGGGGGGGTGAGCGGAAGGCGCCATTGTCTCCTGATGGGCGGCCGGGGGGGGGGGTTCCTAGGCCGCGCCCCGCCCTCCGCCGCCCCTCCACCCCTCGGGGACCGGGCAGCGGCTCCCCTTCCCTCCTTCGCAGGTGGCGCCGTGTGTGGTATTGGCGCCGTGCAGAATCCATTGAACGTGTCTGGGAACATAACATAGGGGCTATTGCTTTGTTTCGTTTTTCTTCTTGCTTTTATTATGTGCTTTGTATTCTGCATTTTTGTGCTGGAAGCCGCCCTGAGATTTCAGGAGGCAAGGCGGTATACAAATTTAATTAATAATAATAATAATGATGGCAGTACTGTAGTAGGATAATAACCAAGCATGCTAGACAGTGATTTTGCAGAAGTACATTGTGATGCAAGTAATTTATTTTTCAGCTACAAATGTACCACTTGTACATAGTGATTAAATATTGTGTTGTGAAACTTTGGATGATAGATTTAATTAATTAAATAAATAAATAATAATAATAATAATAATAATAATAATATGAGCCTTGCTGGACCAGTAGCCCATCTAATCTAGCATCTTATTCTCACAGTTGCCAACCAGATCAGTATTTTGGGAATGATTCATGTTCTGCGTTGTTTCATACTTTCTGGATGTCTCATGCTCCTATTATAAAGGGGTTGTGTTCTGTGTTATAAATCAAGCACCGATAGCAGTTGTGTCTTTTTGTTTTCCAATGCGTTTCTTATCAACAAAAAACTTGATGTGGCAAGTTTATTCTAAAAGTGTGACCCAGAGGAAAGTTTGAGAACTGCTAAGTTATGGTGTTAGGATCAGCACAAAGGTAACCATGCTGAAGATTGCTGAAGTCAATCTTTTGCTGTGTGAGGGGAAAGGAAAGGGGGCATCTCTTCTGCAAAGCCGGAAGAGCTCCAAAGATGAAACCGTATTAATAGTGCAAACACAGCTTGCTGAATAAAAGCTATTGGGGGGACCGGACACTTTCTGTGTTGCTCATTCATGTGCATACCTACTCAGAAATCAGGCCCTTGTTCCCTTACTGTTTGAGACTGCATGTGCCATGCACATAGATAATGCTGTAACAATCATGAATAAATTGGAGGTATGTATCTTGGTTATCAGAGCAAAGTAAATCTAAATGAACATATTGGTGGACTGGGGCCCCCCCGAATGCTAATACAGAATTACAGTGATCTGAAATAAGCTTCACCTTTTATGAAAGGCATTCCTGTATTTTGTGTAAGAGAGTTGTCATTGTAAGATAGTAACAGCCCAGAGGACTGAGGAAGGCTTTCATGGACACCATGGTGCCTTCGTGTATTGGGCTGGAGATGGCAGGGTTAACATGTATTGAAAACATCTAAGCAGTGTACAACAAACATAAAATCCGGATAAATGTAAGAAGACTAAAAGCAGAAAAAGTTGTAAAGAATTCACCAATCACAAAGTCATAAAGAACTGACCAATCTCATAAAATGTGCATAGATACCTGGAAAGGCCTGTTGACACCTAGAAGACTTAAAAAGGCATCTAAACATAAGCGAAGAAAATAAATTTAGGGGGCATCATAAGGTTGTCCGGGAACCTGACATGCCTCAAGATGTCAGCAAATACATTTTTAGTGCTGCAGGGAACAGCTCCTCTTGTCCCCAGAGAGAAGGGAAATTCCCATAGGTGGTGGTGCTTTCAGTCCCATCCTCTATCACCTCCCAGGTCTAGTCGGAGTTTGGCTCCAGACAGGGATAGATTTGTAATGGGATCAGAGCCCAAGGAATGCATGGGGTAGCATTTCTGCTAGCTCCATCCCATCAGTTAGTGGTGTCCATGGCTAGGCTTTCCTGTGCAGCCAGCAGAACCAACTTAGAATAATTAGATGAGCATCAGAGCTTCAGGGATCTGCCATGTGTGGTTGCTGCCTGGATCATTCCAATGTCTGCTGGAAAATAAAAATTACATTTTCACTTTTATTTTAGCGGTTGCAGATGCGGTTAGGACAAGCCTTGGACCAAAGGGAATGGATAAAATGGTACGTCTTGAGTGTATGCCTATCATATTGTGCATGTAGCAATTTTTTTAATGGTGCTTATGAATTCTATATAATCCATTTTCTAAGCTGCTGTGAAGTTATTTATTGTTCATAAACTTTCAGTTGTGTGGGGAAAAGGCTTTATGATTAAATTGTCATGGAGCAGGTTCCATGTTGAGTGGAATGGATTATTTTGGTTAGCACTAACTATACAGGCAGACAAACATAAAGAGATTGTGCTGAGAATGCAAACAAAGTGAGGTTGTTGAATGGCAAGATGCTTCAGGCTTTTGAATAGCGCAAAGGGAGGGCACATGTTTGGGGAGTGATAGCCTAATCAAGGCTCCAAGGTAGGTGTGCTTAGATGTTGAAGGGCATGTATCTGTCACACTTGATGAACCAGCTTTGCCCTTTACAAACAGACCAGATCACTGTGATCATCTGGAGAAGCCCTCCTCACTGTCCCAGTTTTCACACATTCATTTAGCTTCAGCACAAGCCAGAGGTGCTGGCTCATAGGGGCTGAGATTTTTTGGGCCCCTTCAGTATTTTCAGGGAGGGGGCCCAGCCACCCCAATGTATGGGGTGCTCTGGTGCAGTGCCTGGCCTCCCTACTGCGGGGTGCCCAGCAGCGCCTGGCCTTCTCACGGCATCATAAGTGCATGTCACATGTTGCACATGTAACATCACAAGCATGCCTTGTGTGCATGTAGCATAAGGCAGCCTTCTCAATCTTCACTGCCAGGTGGCACTGCTGGTACAAGCCAAGGCTTTTAGCGTAGTAATTTGGAACATCGTGCCTTTCAAAATCAGGCACTCTTGGTTTTGTTTTTCTCTTTCTTGAGTTGGTCTACAACGCTTATGTTTTTTCAGATCCAAGATGGCAAAGGAGATGTAACAATCACAAATGATGGTGCAACAATTCTGAAGCAGATGCAGGTCCTTCACCCTGCAGCCAAAATGGCAAGTAATATTTAAATTAAATTTCCTGTCAGTCCCCAAGGTGACATCAAATCATGCACATACAATCCTCCAAATTTTTAGCTGTTGTTTAGTTGTTTGTAGAAAACAACATTGGGCCTAGAATTTTGTGCAGCTATATGTGGAGCTCTTCCTTCTGACGGCATCTGTCCAAAAAAGAAATATACAGGACAGTTACAATGATTCAGTACACATAATGTTGATCCTTTTGCAGAATCTGGGACATTACACAGCCCCTCCCAAAGAAACAACTGGCAAAAGTGCCACAGAAAACCACTACTGTAATTGTAAAATGCTTATGGTCCACATAAGCCTGATAAGCATTTTTGTTTTGTTTTTTGTTTAACCTGAATTAGGGTTATTGGTGTACCATTCCAAGTAACAATGGACAAATGGCCGTTGCCAGAACATTTTAGTTAAAATTTAATGTTCATTGTGGCAGATTGTTACAATGGATTTTCAGGCTGAGTGGCATGAATTAAATTATTACAGTATTTGACCAGAGTGCCCCTTGGCAAGAAGAGCAAATAATTGAGTAGTGACAGCTAAATCAAACCCAGTTGTGTCTACTTTGAGTATGACATTTAACCAATATTTAAAAACATTACTTCAAGTAGTGTAGTTAGGTAATCTTATGTTCTGGGCTTAATGGTCTAACATAGGGTTGAGAGTGGTGTTGAAAACTCCCATTGTTCTAGGTGCATTTTGTGACAGGGAATTTCATTAGCACGAGCAGTTTCTGAGCTCTGGGGCAGTACTGCGCCTAAGATTTCAGATTAAAACTGCAGAGTGGAAGGAAAGGAGGACCTTTTTCTGCCTCCCCACTTCCAGCTACTCTCTGAATACTGTAGAAGAGACCCTCTTAAGAATATTAGGGTGTACGCAGGGGTAGGACTAGACCATGTGGAAAATGAGCACAATATTTTAGCTGCAGTTCATTCATTTTCAGCTTTGTATTCTTGTTATAAAAACAGCGCCTAGACATTCCGTTGTTGCACCCATAACCTAGTTTTATAATCCATTTAGCTCCTAGCTTTCATATCTCAGTTTCTAGCACTGGTTGAGAGATTTCACTAGATGCTAATGTATTAACTTCAATTTCCTCAAAATGTGGTAAGCTAGATCTGCTGTGTTTGGGAACAGCACTGATCTCAACTGGATTAATACTTCCCCAGAGTTACTGCAGTGAGGTTTTGCAGCATATTCAGTATACTGTTAATCACAGAATATTATTTTTTGTTCTTGCATTTTTTCTTGCAATTCAGGGCAAATATTAATAATTTTTTAACATTTGGCAACACACAGCTGGTGGAGTTATCCAAAGCGCAAGATATTGAAGCTGGGGATGGCACTACTTCTGTTGTTGTCATTGCCGGAGCTCTGCTAGATGCTTGTTCCAGACTCCTTCAGAAAGGTAGGTTTCACTTTTAGAAAAATACATAGGTAATTTTGGCGTATGAAATAAATGGAGACTCAAAAGGATAAATGGAGACTCAATTGAAAGAGAAAACTGAAGATATAAACACCAGTGTAGTCCTAAGTATAGCATACGTGTTTTCTTTTCCCAAAGTATGTGTACTAGTGGGTCTGTGGGAGGGAAGGGGGAAGGTGGTTATCTATTTTGGACTTACTATCTTTTGGATATATTGATATATCATCCAAAGCCAGTTTGAAGTCCATATCATGATATCAGTTTCACAGTTTTTGACCTGGCAATATATTGTGAATCATTGTGTGTGTGTGTGTGTGTGTGCGCGCGCGCCATGTAAAAATCACAAGGGGGGGGGGGAGTGAAGCCAGCCAATGCTTCTACATAGCTTCATCCTTATTTCTGACATTATGATATATCAGTGTATCATAATGTTTAGCTGGTGATATATTGGCATGTTGAAAATCAAATATTGCCCAGCCCTACTCCTGACATGATATGACTATTGGATGTATCTACATTTTTGTATTGGCACTATTACGTACCTGTGGTAATTGTAACATATCTCCCCCGAATGGATTTTTGTGTATATGTTCAGTGATACAAAGTTTTTGGAGGTTAGTAATAATAATGATGATGATAGATCAGGATATGGCGAAAGAAAATATTCCAGAAAACTTTATTATAATTTTATTAGGCTTTTGGTGGTGTTGTTTTTTTTGGAAGGAATTGGATCTTAATCAGAAAAAGAAACAATCGTTTTTATGATGGGCCTAAAGTGTTGTTTCATGCATTGTGTTTTCTCTAAAATAATGGGAGTGGGATCCAGCTAAAATGGATGATTAGTGTTTTCTTTTAGTCAAGGCAATGGAAGGTTTGGAATTCTATTGCTAGAGTTCATTTGTCAACCAGTTTAATATTCAGGATTAAGGGCAATAAGTGGATGTGAGCTATATTAATGTGCAATATTGCAAAGCATATTTTATATGCTAATTCAACTGGAAACTTCACCCCCAGTGACTTGTTTTTAAGTGTCGTTGAATAAACTGTTTTCTAGGAATTCATCCCACAATCATCTCTGAGTCATTCCAGAAGGCATTGGATAAAGGTACTGAGATCTTGACCAGCATGGGGCAGCCTGTTGAGCTGAGTGACAGAGAAACCCTACTTAACAATGCAGCTACTGCACTGAACTCAAAGGTGGGTAACTTGTGACATATGTGGTTACAGCATGTCTAGCTTGTGATTTAAATATAAATTGCATGCAACTGTATTAACTAATAATTGAGACCAAAGTTAGGACCCTCCTTACAGTAATATTAGGAATGCTTCAATTATTTAGAATTGCCAGACATTTCTTGAGAGGAATGTTTTATGGTGGTGCTCTGATCCTGCTTGCTAGCATTTAAAGAGAGGTGCTCTCTCTGCAGGATCCTGCAGGCATCACTATTTACTTGCAATGTTTCCTTTTAATAGTGAAAATTCCAGCTGCACTGGCCAGAAAAGCTTTTGCAACTGCGTATTCTTTCCCATTAAAATTGGGATTGCTGAGTCAGAGATTTACTTAGAGATTCAGAATGGGAATTGCAACCTCCATACTGCTCTCTGATTCTGTCTTAAATAAGAAAAGAAAAATTAAGAAAACAACATGCCAATTACTTACTGTTATGAGTCCTACAAAGAAACAATATAAACTGTTGATCTCCGTTTGTTTAATTTAATGTAACTGTTAGGTAGATTAAAATTCAGATCTGTTGGTGGAAGTTCTTATGGAAATGTGCAAAACCAATGAAGTAAAATGTGGGTCTTCACTAAATCCCTGCAGGTTGTATCACAGTATTCTAGTTTGCTTTCTCCAATGAGTGTGGAAGCTGTGATGAAGGTGATAGATCCAAATACAGCTAGCAGTGTGGATCTTAGAGACATCAAAATTGTTAAAAAGCTTGGGTAAGTAGTAATCTCAAAATACAAATTCTGTAACCTATTTATTTTAAATTATTATTGTGCTAGTTTACTCTTTCAATATTTCTTTCTAGAGGAACAATTGATGACTGTGAATTGGTTGAAGGGCTGGTCCTCACCCAGAAAGTGGCCAATGGTGGTATAACCAGAGTTGAAAAAGCTAAGATAGGTCTCATTCAATTTTGCTTGTCAGCTCCAAAGACAGATGTAAGTTGCTTTGTTTAATTTGTTATGTCTGCATCATTATGAGCTATCTTTACACATTGATTGCAACTTCTTAAAAATTCTAAGTATGCTAACAGTACATTATTTTATTTTACTTTCTGAATAGAATTACATGTCAAAAACTTAAAATAGCGGTGGGCTGACTTGTATGATTGGTTGCTTGCATAGATTTTATGTGGTCCAACAGCGAATCAGATATTAAGCACTCTTGTTTTTAACAGTCAAAATCTTTGTTAAGGTTTCCTATTAAGAATTAGCAGGAACTATTGGCCCACTACTGAACTGCCTATATCACTTCAGTTTAAGCCTGAAAAAGAGATATTAGCATAAAAGAAAGTCATTAATGGCATATTCTTCTATAAACTAAGCTTAAGCTTGCAACTGCTTAGCTTGCAACTGAATGCTTTGATTGTAGACAGTGAGTTATATATTGCTATACTACATATAGAAATTTTGATTAAGGGTAGCCAGCATTCTGGTTCCAACTGCCATCAGTCCCAGGCAGCGTGGCTAATAGTAAGGAATTTTGGGAGTTGTACCACAATGTCTATCTTTTGATTTAGATGCTTAGTTAAGCTTTATTATGCTTCTTCTCCTGTTAGATGGATAACCAAATTGTTGTTTCTGACTACACTCAAATGGACAGAGTCTTGCGTGAAGAGAGAGCTTACATTCTCAATTTAGTTAAGCAAATTAAGAAGACAGGATGCAATGTGTTGCTCATTCAGAAATCTATTCTGCGGTATGTTTATTCCAGTAATGTGCTTGCTGTTGAAGAATGAATGATATTCGGGATTAAAATTGTTCATGGTGTGATAAAGTTTAAGAGACTTGCTCTGAAACGTATTCCTTAAACCAGGGGCGGGCAACTGAATCTGGCCAGGGGACCAGACATTCAGCCATATTTGAGGCTCTGACCAACTGTCAGATTTCACCCACACACATGTGGTTGAATGTTTAGTCCAACCACCTATTATGTTAGGTGACTCTAGTCTGCTGCTGAAGCAGCAATTTGAGTAAAGTGGGAAGTGGAGAGGGCTTGTAGGCCTTCTGGAGAGATTTAGGAAAAGCTTCAAACCAATGATGCACTTAATGACATCTAGTTGGGCCCAGGATACATAAAGGTGTGTTCTGAGTCTTGGGAAATTCTGAGTCTGATCAGAGTAGCTTGCCCATCACTAATAACACTGCTGTGAGTCTGGTTGATTTTCTAGCTCATTCATTGTGTTGATTTCAGGGATGCTCTAAGTGATCTAGCACTACATTTCTTGAACAAAATGAAGATAATGGTGATTAAAGATATTGAAAGAGAAGACATTGAGTTTATATGTAAGGTAAGGAGGAGCTGTTAACTAGTTCTGCTGTAGGTGAATATTTGATTCAAAAAGTAATTGAAATTGGTCATAATACTGATTGGCACAGCTTTGGAATTTGTTACACACTTTGTATGTAGGCTGTGGGAGGAAACAATACGTGAAAGAATTAGTAGGCTCTATTAGTCTCACTTCTTCCCAAGGAAATAGTAATGTGTCATCTTGCCGATAAAGATGCAGCTGTAAACTGTCTTACTTAAGCTTATACATGAGTGGTCGGAAGTAAGTCCCACCAAATTTAATGGGACATCTTCCCGGGTAAGTGCATATAGGATTGCAGCCTGAGTATAAAGTATAGCATATTGAACTATATCATATCTTTTTAATCTATGGTCCTTTTGTTGATTTATTTTTGAAAAGACCATTGGAACTAAGCCAGTTGCTCATATTGATCAGTTTACTGGGGATATGCTGGGATCTGCTGAACTGGCAGAAGAGGTCAATTTAAATGGATCTGGAAAGCTAGTAAAGGTAAGCAGAACTCCTGTTTAGCTATTTAGCTTGCTTCTTTATGACACTTGAGGAAGTAATTTTCATTTCATTTTCTTAAAATGTATACATCGCTTGATTGTAAAAACCTTAAAACAGTTTACAAAAAGATAAAACCATAAAATCAGGATTTTTAAAAATACAATACATTAGAACAGGGAGGCCCAACTTTTCTTATTCTAGGTCTCTGTCAGAGCCCTCCTGCCTCCTTCCCAAAGCCCAGCACCTTGCTTACCCAGCTTTGGGAAAATGGGACGGAGAGGGGGTCAAATGTTGCAGGGAACCGCCAGAAAGGCCTCACGGGTGGCAGACGGCCCCTGGGCTGTGTGTTGGACTACCTGCATTAAAACATACAAAAAGTTAAAAAACTAAGATTACAATTCATATCATTACCAAGCATTTGGTCAGGCTTGTATAAACAGGAATGTCTTTAACAGAGCCCAAAACAAATACAGTCGTACCTTGGATCCCGAGCGCCCTGGAACTCTGATGTTTTGGCTCCTGAACGTTGCAAACACAGAAGTGATTGTTCCTGTTTGCGAACTTTTTTTGGAACCCAAATGTCCAGCAGGGCTTCTGCGGCTTCCTGCAGCCAATCAGAAGCCGTGATTTGGTTTTCGAGCGTTTTGGAAGTCGAACGGACTTCCGGAACGGATTCCGTTCGACTTCCAAGGTACAACTGTACAGTGAAAGTGTATCTATTGTTTGATATAAATAGGCAGGGAGTTCCACACTAAACTATTCAGGTATTACAAATGTGGAAGGGCCGTTATGTGGCACCTGTAGTGGTGCCAGTTCCACCGATTGAAGTTGTCAAGTGGGCACATGTTTGGTAAAGCAATCTCGTAGGTACAGTGGTGCCTCGCAAGACGAAATTAATTCGTTCTGGGAGTTTTTTCGTCTTGCGAATTTTTCGTCTTGCGAAGCACGGTTTCCCATAGGAATGCATTGAAAATCAATTAATGCATTCATATGGTCAAAAAAAGTCCAAACCAAGCCAAATTTGGTACAAAAAGAGTTTATTAAGTGCTCGCTCTTTAAAGTCACACATACTGTAAAGAGCATTTCAAAAATTGAAGGAACAATAATTTAAGTTTGTAAACATGACAGAAAAGCTTTTAAAAATCACCAAAGTGTACTGTACATACATTTTCTAAGACTCTGGGGGACAACTCGGAAGAAGGTTCCTCTTCCACTCTTTGCTTCTTGCTGAAGAACCTGTCCATGGTCTGCTGCTTCATCTGCCTTTTCAGCACCTCCTTGAAAGACGACATGACCCTCGTATCAAAAGTGTTCGCAAGGTCACGTGTCAGGTCCTTGTCAGGGTGGTGCCGCTGTGCAAAAGCCTGCACATCTTTCCACTTCTGGCAAATGTCCCTCAGTTCTTTGGAGGACAGCCGTTCTTCAGTTGCTTCCTCCTCTTCCAGTGAGGCCTGCTCCTGCGCAGCCTCTGCGTGCAGTTCGACCAGCTCCTGGGTGGTCAGCTCGTGGTCGTACTCCTCCACCAGCTCGCTGACGTCCTCCTCTGTGACCTCCAGGCCCATGGTCCTCCCCAAGAAAACAGTGTCCTGCACCACTGTTGACTCTGGTGCATCAGAGTCACTTGGTGCCACACAGTCCGGCCACAGGCTGCGCCAAGCGCAATTCAAATTTCTCTGGCTGATCCCGTCCAGCCAGAAGACCTGCTGTGGAACGTAGCCCTCCATCGTCACAACCTCCAGGAACTCCGCTGCAAAGTCTTCAGCCGCAGGAACATCAGAACTGGCAGCCTCCCCATGCCTGACCACGCTGTGGATTCCAGATCTCGTCTTGAACCGATCAAACCAGCCTCTGCTTGCCTTGAAGACTCCTGGCTCGCCTGAGGTTCCTGGCTGTTGCCAGACGAGGTCTGCGTGCAAGGCCTTGGCCTTCTCACAAATGACGGCCTCAGTCACTGTGTCCCCTGCACGCTGCTTCTCTTCTAACCAGATGAGCAGCAACTTCTCCACCTCCTCCAGAACCGCTGGGCGGTTCTTCACGATCCTGGTGACTCCTTTGGCTGCATCAGTCGCAAGGATCTTTTCCCTCATCTTCAGGATGGTCCCGATGGTCGATGGATTCCTCCCGTACTCCCTGGCGAGATCTGTCACACGCATTCCACCGTCGTGCTTCTGGATGATCTCCTTCATTTCCAGCGTAACCTTCTCCTTCTTCCTCTCGCCGGCCTCTGCAGCAGCAGTCTTCTTGGGCCCCATGGCAGCACAGCTCCTACCTTCGCAACCCCCCCCCCAAAAAAATCAGTGCTTCACATCCAAAAAATTCAAAAGCACCAAACCTCCCAGAAAATACACAAGCTTCCAGATTCTTGCAAACCCCTCCCCAATACCAAGTCCTTGAATTCCAAACACCCCAACCCAAAATCCAACCCCCCCCAAAAGTTTTAAAAGTTTAACTTACCAAATGGCTGCAAAAGAAGTTTTGGAAAAGCTTCAAAAATCACCAAAGTCTTCAAAAACCTCAAAAAAGGCTACCACACCACGTGCTATGAGTTGCTCCTCGAAGTCAAGTCGCAACTGCACCTCTTCAAGCAATGCACCCTGGGTATTAACGGTTTTAAGAAAAAGGGAACAAACTTGCAAGATGTTTTCGTTTTTCGTCTTGCAAAGCAAGCCCATAGGGAAATTCGTCTTGCGAAGCAACTCAAAAAAAGAAAAACGCTTTCGTCTTGCGAGGCATTTGTCTTGCGAGGTACCACTGTAAACTGGTCCCAAGTTACAGTTGTACCTCAGAAGTCGGAACGCCTTGTGAGTTGAATTTTATGGTTCTTGAATGCCGCAAACCTGGAAGTGATTATTCCGGTTTGCAAACGTTCTTTGGAACCCAAACGTCCAGCGCGGGTTCCGCAACTTCCGATTGGCTGCAGAACCTTCCTGCAGCCAATCAGAAGCTGTGCCTTGGTTTCTGAACTATTTGGAATTAGAACGGACTTCCGGAATGGATTCTGATCAACTTCTGAGGTACGACTGTATTAAGGGCTTTGTATACTAATAGTAACACTAATAGTAATGTGTGTGAAACGCAACCTTCCATACAGAATGAAACCTCACCACCTTTGAGTTAATGATCCCTCTATCATAGTGCTCCTTCCCAAAAGAAATTACACTGAAGCTTTTACTGTGGGGTATTTTCATAACTTTTGGACTACTGTGAAAATGGCTCATTGAGGCTCTCATCTTCACCTGGCAAAAAGATAGTCCACCCTTTATTGGTACCAGGAGATTGTAGCAGGACTCAGGGAAGACAGTCATCTCTAATTTGTGATGGGCCAAGCCACTTATAACATAGTTAGCCTCTACAGCACACCATTAATGGAACACTGGGGTAATATGCTTCTGCTGATACAGCCCTATGAGGGAGTAGACTGCTACATTTCTCACCGGTTGAAGCTTCCAACAATGTGAAGAGCAGCCCCAAGCAGGCATCACAGTATTTTAGGTGGTTTGATGGACATGCATGATTGTCATCTTACTTCCATCTGATCAAGAACTTTATTCATCTCCATTGGGATTGTCCGGATATTGGAGTCAATTTTTTCTGCTCAGTCATATCTAGAATGGTCTTTGGGAGTGCTTTATTGACTCTCTTTGGGCAGGGGTCCATAGGAGCAGTGCTGCTAATTCTCTAAATATTGTAGTGACACTGTTTTTGTCCTGCAGATTACAGGGTGTGCTAGCCCTGGAAAAACTGTAACAATTGTGGTCCGTGGCTCCAACAAACTAGTAATTGAAGAAGCTGAACGTTCAATTCACGATGCTTTGTGTGTCATACGCTGTTTGGTAAAGAAAAGGTAATGTATAAGACTTACAGACCAGTAAAGTCACCATTCAACTTTACCAATGCCTTTTGTTAACATTTTCAAACTGCAAAATTCTAATTTCAGAGCCCTGATTGCAGGTGGTGGAGCACCAGAAATAGAGTTGGCCTTACGCTTGGATGAATATTCTCGCACCTTGAGTGGCATGGAGTCTTATTGTGTACGTGCTTATGGAGAGGCCTTGGAAATAATTCCATCCACCCTGGCTGAAAATGCAGGCCTTAATCCTATTTCTACTGTGACTGAGTTGAGAAACAGACATGCACAAGGAGAGAGAACTGCAGGAATTAATGTCAGAAAGGTAAGGTGCAAAGTGGTGAGACAAAAGAAATACATATTATTGTATATTATTCCATAGAATTTTGTTTTTTATATTGGAGTTTATTATGTAGTTTATTGTATGCTGCTCACTGTATTATGCATAACTCAAAGGAACAGGCAAAATATCATGTATTTGTTTTCTTTATTTCTGGTGTTCTGCCTGGTACCATCTGTGCAGAACAGAGAGATATCAAAAGGTTTTGCGGATCGCTGAGGTACAGGGTATATTTAAAGGCAAAAAAAATCGGGGGGGGGGGGCTTCCTAGAAACAGCCTGATTAAGATTGAACTTGATTAGTGACCACAAAATGCTGACTGGTGGTTGGGGTGGTTTGGCTGGTTGAATAGAAAACCAGGTTTGAAGTGGCTGGACTCATGAACAGCAGTTGCCTGCACTGCAACAATTTGTTGCAGTGGCTGGGGCAACCCAGTCAGGTGCGCAGAATACTACTACTAAGTGTAATTTCAATAATAATTGGCAGCCTCTGCAAAGGAATACAATAGAGCAATCTCTTGGGTTGCATTCAAAAATCAGAGACTAAATGTTGACCCCAATTAATATATTCAGTTTCATAAAAACAGCATTGACATAAAATTCATTCCAAAATATAAAACTTTATCTTAAATGCAAGAGCTACTCATTGGAACTTCGCTTTACTTACGTTTGAAAAATGTCAAGTGTTGTTTTTGAAGCTTGATAGTGGAATGTACCTAGAGATAATTGATTGTTGTGACTTACCGATGGCTTACTGATCCAAGGAACCAAGAATTAAATATTTGGCTCTGTAGATCCATCAAAAGTGACCTTTTATTGCCCAGAGTTAAGCAACAGAAAAAGTGGCTTGCTTTTATTTTCATGTTGTGAAATTTAATCTTTGATGGAGACCTACTATGTAACAACTGATAAGTCTTTTATTTTTATTATTATTATGATATTTTACTGGTGTTACAAAAATAATTATATATATCACTTGATTGCACAGCTTATTGCGGTTTTATTAAAAATGGTAAAGATTAACATAGTCAGCACTATAAAATGTTTGATTAATTTAAGGCTACTTCAACTAGAATTAGTATAATTAAATATATTCCTTGGCTGCATGCCATCAGTGCCTCATATACTTACTGCACAAGAATATTTGTTCTTTCCTACAAGCTGAGATCATGTACAGCGTGCTGAAAAACACTTGTAAACTTGGATGTGAATATGGTTAAGTGAGTTGATTGGCCACCGAATGAGGCAGGAGTGCATTTCTCCAGAATGAAAATGTTGGGATATCTAATTTCATGTAATTTATGCTGGTAATTTGTTTATAAACTGAGGTTTCCATTCTTAATTTGTAGGGTGGAATTTCCAATATCCTGGAAGAATTGGTGGTCCAGCCTCTGTTGGTTTCCATCAGTGCTCTGACCCTAGCGACAGAAACAGTCCGCAGTATTCTTAAGATTGATGATGTGGTAAGTTACACTTAAAGGCTAACATTCTTGCAAATGGATATTTCATAGCAGTTAGCAAATGTTAAATGACAATTCCTATTATATCATAATGTGAATCTGCAAGTTAACATACTGCATTTGTAACTAAATGATGAAAGTTGCTGTTCAAATTTAAAGAGACAAATAACTTAGTGAAAGTGTAGATTAATGCTGGATACAAACAATGATACAAAAGAATGTTGGTGATGCAGAGACATTTGAACGTAATGGTTAAAAGTATCATCCCATACCATTCTGTTTCTCTTTGCAGGTGAATACTCGATGAGATGACTAAAGAAACAAACTGTGCAGCTCAGCACAGTGTCGCAAGTTTGGAATGCAGTTCCTTCATTGGACGTTGCATAACTCCCAGTTACATTTCATGTATACTTGTCAACTTAAATTAATAAAACCTTAAATTCTCAAGGCATATCTTGTTTACATTGTCTTTATAGCTAAACAAAGCGCACCCCCAGCAGTTTACAACAATTGATGCTGTTAGAGTTAAAACCAGTATTGCCACAGAAACTAAAGTTGCCACTCTTGATTTCAACTGATCAGTCACTTAAAAATGTTTATAGTTATGCTAGGCAGTAAGCCATGGTAGCTTCAAACTCAAAGTCAAACTTAACAGAAGACGAGCCGAAGGGTTTTCTGGATAAGGATGGAAGTAATTTGTGTTTCTCGTCTGTCTGTAATTCCACATCTTTGCTTCAGCTGAGACGACATGTTTTCATTTCAGCTTTAATTAAACGCCTAAAATGAATGGTGTCAGAAGTTACATCAGTTCATGCTGCTGGTGACATGAGCCCTTGTACCATAAATGTAGGTCAGTCTTCTAAGGTGCCTCAAGACTTTGTAACAACAGAACCTGCAACTAATACAATTGCCTCTACAATTTGTCCTGAACAAGTCTGCCTAGACTTGCTGTCACCATTGGAAAAAAGCCAGTGTAATTTCGTGGTTAGAGTGTTGGGTGTGGGAGATCAGCATTGCCACTCTGCCATGAAACTTACTGGATGGCGTTGGGCCAGTCACTCTTTCAGCCTAACTGACCTTGCAGAGTTGGAGGGGAAGAACCATGTAAACCATGTTGAGCTAGGAAAGGGGGGATATAAATGTCATAATCTGAATTAATAAAAACAGCTTTTATATTCTTAATGAAATCTGTTACACATCTGTTCAGAAGTAAACCACTTAGAGTATAATTAAGCTTCCTCCCAAGCGTGTACATGATTGCACATTAGTGTAATGTGCAGGAATAGAAAGAAAACTAGAGAAATATCCAAATTCCTGTTTTATTTGGGACCTCTGCATACAAATCAATAGAGCAGAATGCACATGCGTTAATTCGGTGCTGCCATTGGGTTCAGAGGACCGCTGTTAAACCATACTTACCTGTACAATAAGCTGAGGTGCATATTTTCTGAAAGGTCTCTTGCAGTATTGTCCATTTTCAGTGCAATTGCTACTTTTCAGTTAAGTAGACATGGTTAGCTAAGTCAGTTCAAGGGCAGTAACCATACATCTTCTCCATCATCCAGTGCTCTCTTCAACTTGGGTAACAATATAGTTGTACAGCATAGAATGAATGGAGATTTGCCCCGATAATGTATTTCATCAATAGAAACCCAATAAGGCAATAGCTCTTGAAGTTTATAGAGAGCTGTTGCAAAAAGTTTTTTTTGGCTATGTCCGAAGTAAGAGTAAGAACAAGCAAGTGGTAGGTCCTCTGCGTGGGGAACATGGAGAAATGCTATTGGGTAACAGAAAAAGTGGAACTACTCAACACTTACTTGGCCTCTGTCTTCACCCAAAATAAAAGTGATGCTGCCCAACCTGGTGACGACAGAATCAATGATGTAAGGAGGGAGCTGCAGCTCAAGATAGGACAAGAGGTAGTAAGGGAACACATAGCTATTTTAAATGAATTCAAATCTCCAGGGCCTGATGAACTGCATCCAAGGGTACTAAAGGAGCTTGTGGATGTAGTTTCAGAGCCTTCGTCTATTATCTTTGAGAATTATTGGAGAACAGGTGAGATCCCTACACTCTGGAGGCGGGCAAATGTCCCCATCTTCAAAAAGGGAAAGGAAGACCCAGGTAACTACTGACCGGTGAACTTGACATTGATACTAGGGAAGGTCGTAGAACAGATAATCAACAGTCAGTCTGAGCATTTGGAAAAGGATGCTGTTATTACTAAAACCCAGAATAGGTTTCTCAAAAGTAAGTCATGCCAGACCAATTTAATTTATTTAATGGAATTACAAACATATATATATATATATATATATATATATATATGTATATATATAAAATCAAACTGCGGGAGGCAGTGGAAGACAGGAGTGCCTGGCGTGCTCTGGTCCATGGGGTCACAAAGAGTCGGACACGACTAAACGACTAAACAACAACAACAAATAATAATAAATAATAATTATAGTAACAATATCCCTCACGCGGCCTGCTGCTGTCACTTGGGCACAGCACGGGGTGTGTGTGTGTGTGTGCTGATGTGATGTGTGCACCCCCACGCTGCGGAGTGGAACTTGGGGGAGGGCGGTGACCCCTCCATTAAAAATTTGTGGGAGCCCAGCCACAAGTCAGTGCCTATGCTCACTACAGTGGGGGGGGGGGGGGAAATAATTGTGGCCTGCAGTGCAGGAATCTCAGCTAAGGCGCCCAGGACAGGTTGCCTCCTATATATTGAGTTGGTGCCCGTCTGTCTCGGGAGACAAGGGAGATTATACGTCAGTGCGCCTGGATGTCAACCAGAAAGTCGGTGGTTCGAGCCCAGCCAAGGACAACGCAGGGGGCTGGACTAGATGACCCCTGGGGTCCCTTCCAACACCGCAATGCAAGAGATAAGAGAAAGGACGAGAAGAGCATCTTGGCTCCGCAGCCCCGCCTCGCCAGGAGAAGAGCCGGGGCTCCGCGTTCGCCAGCGGGCGAGGGCTTTGTGTCCCGCGGGAGGCGCCGTAGCGCCGTCGCCTTGGCAACCGAGCCGGGCCAAGCGGCCTTGCGCTGCGCCTCCCGAAGAGAGCCATGGACGCGGCCCACCGAGCCGCCCTGCTCGCCGCCTCCTGCCTCCACACGCCGGTGGACCCCCGCACCAGGGCCCCGGTCGCGCTCTACGAGAGGGAGGGCGGAAGGCCCGCGCCGGGGGGCGGCGAGCGGCAGGTAGGCCGAAAGCGGGGGGAGGCCGGAGGCGGCGGGTGGGGGGGGGAAGGCTGCCCCCTGGTGGCCGCGGGAGGGAACGGCAGGAGGAGCCTTAAGGTCTATTATACACACTCGCACCCGTGCAATCACCGCAAAGAAAGAAAAATAATAATGAACAATGTTCTCACCCAGTAATTAGCAGGCTACTATTTTGCCAAAGAGCAGGGAGGGGGATTAGGCTAGATGGAAGTTAAATCTTCTTATTGTTTTTGTTTATTTATTTATTTCGCACAATTTATACACCGCTTGATTGTTAAAAACCTCAGAGCTTTTTAGAAAAAGATAAAACAATAAAATCGAGAAAAATTCACAACCATCGTTTAAAACCTGCAGAAGTTAAAATACTGAAACAGATTAAAATTACCTGAACTTTCTAAGCACCTGGGTAGGCTTGTCTAAACAAATTTTTTAATCTATTTTTTAAGCTTAAAAAGGTAAACGTAAGCTTGCTAGTCACTTTTTACCCAGAAGATCGCCAAGTGACTTACAGCCATGGACACAATGCCGTAAGAGAAGGGAAAATATTGGGCCATGGGGAATTATACATCAATACATCGTCTAATGTAACATGTATGAAAAAATAAAAGCAACACAACCACCATGTAAATAACTAGGAGAAATCAGCAACCAAAGCTTTTCCAGCTGTGTTTGCAATGATTGGAAATCACAAATGCTAGCAGCTAAGAAAAACAGTTGTTAAACCAAATATGCTTAATAAGAAAGAAAGAGAAACACTGAAAGATTGACAACTCCTCTCAAAATCACCCATGCTTGTGCCTTGAATGACTGCCGGATTGGCACACATTTAACCAGCAGTGTTTGTATTAGCACAATGAAAACTCTGCGAGTGAAACATGTGCCTCTTGTGCACTTTTGCTTTAAACAGAGGTGGCAGTTCTTTCTGATGTTGGGAGTAACCACGACATTTTTTATATGCTGGGCTGAAAATGCTGACAGTCGGATATTGCTTTAGGTCCAGTTTTGTTCTGTATGAGTGGAAGTGGTACCTTGCCAGGCTGTGCTAAGGTCTGCCTTTCCTCTCTGGCAATCAGGAGAGTGCATATTGTAAAGTCTGTGTGTCTTTGTGTATGATGGATTAGGCTCTATGACACATGGGTCGTCTTCCTGCCTCCCCTCTTTTCTGCTGCCAGTCATGTCACTGGGCTGTCACTTAGAACAAGAAAGGTGGCAGACTGAAAACCTGCTGTTTAATGAGTAGTAGTGTTCTAAGAATAAAAGCTTGCACTTTTAAATTTGTCAACTGCAAAGGTAATAACACTGCAAGTTTTGAAACATTCTAAATTCTTTAACTTGCATGCTTTTTTAACAATCAAGTGGTATATAAATTGTATGAAATAAAGGAAAACCGATGGAATCAATTCTAAATGGTTTTACTTCTCTTATTGCATTTTGATTGAAGACATTAGCATAGGTAATGTTTCTGAGAATTTGCAAGTCTCAAATACTATAGGAACCAGATGGTATTTGTATACGAAGCCTACACAAATCTCTTAATGAGCTTTACATCAAAGGAGTCATAATGAGTTTACGTGCAGCTAACCAGAAAGGTACATAGTGTTGTAGTATAGCTGTTGCTGAAATGCAATTATTCATTTGAAATTAGAAATAAAAATGGATTTAAATGTTTATTACAGTTGAGCAACTTTGGCTACAGGATGATGTCATGCCGATTGGACCCTACTTTTACCATGTCTCAGCAGTTTTCAGTGCTGAGAGACGCCAAGTTCCACAGTTTGTGGCACCTACCACTTGACCAAATTATTAGCATTTTATACTTATTTCTCCAAGGGGAATGAAATCATTATAATAATATTCTGTTTTAGGATAGTTTGAGTCCTGAGAGACAGCAGCGTTCTACTGGACATGCCGATTGCAGAGACTGGATAGACCTCTCCAAAATGTACCTTTCGAATCAAGAATATTATTTAAAGCTGGAAGAGCTTAAGTACGCTCACCTGGAGACCATGGCAAAATTGGAAAACATGTATCGGAATAAACTGTATCTAAAAGATGTTCAACCTTTAACAAATGTGAATGTGACCCACAGTATGAATGATAGGTATGGTTTATAATCTATTTTTGTAGTATTATTTCTCTGAAGATGTTAAATATTGTAGTTACAGGCAGCAACCCTTTTAGGGGTTGACACGTGATTGCTGACACGCAGGTCTTTTGGACCTGGAAGAGGGCAGAACAGGGGGGACAGGGCATAATGGGGTGGGGTGTGCTTATGTGTGCTCTGCTGACACACGCAGGGGCCAGGAACGGAGCCCCTGCATGAAATAGTTGCTGCCTGTATATTATGGAGGAATCTGCATGCTGATAATCTCACCAAAACAGTGTTTTATATACTATATGCCAACAGCTTAATTTTTTTAAACTGCCGAAGAACCTTCAGTTCTAGATTTTTGTATCTGGCCACACTTGTCTCCCTGCAGGTAACTCAGAAAGAACAGCTGAAGAAGGAAGAAAACTGAGTATTGTGTGTGTGTGTGTTTCTTGCCTTGATTTGTTTGAAAATATCCTTAATTGTAGGATAAACTCCTTAATCCTACTGAAAACGTCAGAATGGGTTCAACTGTTGTGGTGTACAATAGGTTATATATAGATATAGCTGTTGGAAGGTAATTATTTAACTTTCAGAGTTACCGAGTGTGTAACACTGCTAATTGCTTAACTATGCTTAAGCAATTGGGAGTGCAGGGTTGCATCCACTTTCTTCCCCACTCGATCCTTTTGGACTGGAGTGTAAATTCTTCCTAGAGATTTAGCACCAATTAATTATTACATTGGATGGTGGCTTTAGCTGCTGCTAAGACTAACCAGGCTTCCTGCTTACATCAGAATCTGAAGCCATAGCTTAGGACAGTAATACTGAAATGGGACTGAAATGAAATTTTGGGAACATAGTATGCGGCTTTAATACCAACTCAGTCCATTGACTCATCTAGCCCCATATTGCCTCACTGACTGGGAGCAGCTCTCCAGAGTTTCCAGTTGGCCTCTTTCCCAGCAACACCTGAAAATTCCAAGGATTGAACCTGGGACATTCTGCATGCAAAGCAGAGGCTCTGCTAATGAGCTGTGGCCTGTCTCCCTATTCATAGTAACAAAGTACTTTTGCATAGGGTTTTCCAAAGGTTTTAGAACACTGCAGATACTCCTTAGGAAGCGCCTTCTAAAATTAATTTTTAGTTTTGCTAATAGGAATACTTCTTATTTTTACTTCTATTCTCTGTCTTACAGGAGACCAGTGATGTGAGTTCTGATTGCAGACATAAAGCTAACATCCAGCCTATAGTTGCTTGGTCCTAACACAAATATTTCACTAAACTGTACATTTTATCATAAGGAACAAATTCAGTTTGGGGAGAGCTCTTTTTCAGGCTTCTGGTAACAAAGGCGCAGAGATGGGACACAACCAGTATAGCCCAACCTTCTATACTGGTGGGATTCTTTAGACTTGAAATGCTCCTCCATTCTGTTATTCATCAAAGCAGTCTGGTTATATTTTGCTGCTTGCAGAAAACTAACCTTCACATTTTTATTTCCTTTTAGATCTTGGGAGCCAAGCCCTTTTCAACCTCAGAATATGTGTAAATCATTTTCTGAGCCTGATTTGAACAATTCTTTTCATTCAGATTTATCTCATATATCTGATAAAGAAATAGAGTTAGAAGAAAATGACAGTGAAAACAGATCACTAACATTTGGTAAGGAGCATGCTGAAAATTCATGGGATGGGTCATCTTTGGAGGACTATTCTCACTGCAACCAAAGTATTTTATCCAAATTACAGACTTTGAGGAAGAGCAGGAGGAAGAAAAAAAAGTGGTCCCCAAAGATCACAATACCTGAGCCTTTCCAGATGACTATCAGAGAAGCTAAGATAAAACAACAGAACATAAAGTCAAAGTCACTGATTGAACTGGAAAATAACTTGCTGAAGAAAGAATTGGAGGAGGAAGCAGAATGTCAAAAGAAATCCGAGCCCATCCAGTGCCTGCTTATGTCTTTTTCCCTCTCTATCATGATATTATGCAGCAAAATGAAGAACGTAGAAAGTCACTAAGAGAGAGGAGGCGAGAGATCCTTCTAGCTACACAAAAGCCATTTCAGTTTATTGAGCGGGAAGCACAAAAGAAAGAAATGAAGAAAATGCAGTTGAAGGACGTTTCTTCACCAGAAAAGAAAGCAAAAGTATTCAAAGCAAAGCCAGTTCCTAAATTTGTTTATAGTTCAGAAATTAATGAGAAGCTAAAGGAGGAAGAGCTTTATAGAGATATTAGAATTCAGATGAGATCAGAAGAACTTCTGCGCAACTCATCTCTTCCTAACAGTAGGTTAGGAAACAGGGGCATTAATAAGAATAGGCAGCAAAATCATCTTGAGCTGACTAAAGAAGTGGAACACAAACCAAAGACCAAAGCCAAGGTCCCAGATTTTGAAATTTTACATCAAAAATTCCTGAAGCGGCTTCAGAGACAGAAGAATGTGAAACACATTACAGCCTGTGAACCCTTCAATCTCTGTACACCAAATATAGCATCCAACAAAGAGAAAATTCTTGAGGACATTCAAATGGATGAAGAAAAATTAAAGGAAACACGCTGGCCCTATGCTTCTTCAAGAGCTAAGCCTCAAATGAGGTCTTTGAATGCAAATTCATCTCCTTCAGGCTGTGAAGAATCTGTATCTCCAAGAATTACAGAATCTACAAGACGACGACTACAAGTAGTCAGGTGAGCTGTTCACAGGCCTGGACTGATGTAATTGTCGTTAGTTTAATTTCAAGTTGCTTGTGGAAAATAAAACCATGTTGATGCAATAAGGTACTAAATACTTGTTTTAGTTATCGCTGCATATCTTAAGTGAAGTTAAAACTCTGATCCACATGGGATTAATAAAACTATTATTCTCTGTTTATAATGGTTTTACTAATTGCATGTGGATATTTTTTTATATAAGTAATTTTTATTGGTTTTCGTATCTGTTTAACAACAAATAAGTAGACAACTAAACATAATCATGTTAATCATATTAATTTTGGTTTTTTTGATAACGAAATATGAAGATTATCTTTGAATGCGTGAAATTCATGCTATTTTGGAGAGGAATTCAGTATTGCAGTAAGGCAATCATTTCAGATGAAATGAACCCCCCTTTCCTTCCTCCATGTGCTGTTCTGGGGCTTTCAGGGAATGGGGGCGGGGCGGGGGGGGGAAGTCCTTCTTCTCCCCATAATTGTTTTAAGCTACACTCCATTGTCAGCAGCTGATTTTGCGTCCCCTCTTCCCAGATCTTGTGTCTGGTGTTGGGGCACCAGTCACTTTGCCCTAGTTACACAACTGACAAGACCAAGGGGGCCAACCATTTCCTGAGTTCAGTGTTCTGATGTAGTGGTTGTAGCAATGGATGTCTCCAGAGAACTGTGGATGGATGGTTGGCTATGTTCTCTTTTAGGGCAAGGAAACCATCTTTGATTAGTCTCACGGTGGAGTATTAGAGGAAGTACATTGTTACATTGCATGTATGTCTGAACTCACATGCATGTCCCACACTCGTGTATTCATACACACGCTACTGAGAGGTTTAGGATCCTTTGATAGAGTTATGATGTGCGTCCGTTGTGCCAACAAGAAGTTCCTACACCAGAGATGTATTATATGAAATGAAAGTGTCAGAATAGATAAATGTTGCTTCAGAAAGCAAAATTACAATTTAAGCAGGCAAAGAGTGAGTGAAAGAATCCTTAACTGTTCTCAAAAGCCTATAGAAAATGAGCGCGACAATTTCACCACAGAACCCACACTAATAGCAAGTCAATAAATGGAGCGGGGGAAGGTAGACTTGTCCTTGAAGCGAAGTAAGAATTCTTTCTTGGAGCTTGGAGGGCTAACCAACCATTGAAAACCATTGTAAAAATTTTAGCCAATTCATTCTAATGGAGAAGGGAGGGAGCTCTGAGATGAGCAATTCCTATAATTTTAGTATTTCTATTGTTCTGTTGTTCCTTCCCAGAGTTTCCTGCCTATTTCCCATTTTCTTTATTTTGCTTAATAAAACGTTGAAAGGATCTAGTGAGCAATGACTGAACTGTTTATCCTTGTTTACTTCCTGTCTTAAAGTTACCTTACTATTATCGTGATCATCCATTCAGGTGTTGATTAGATGTTATTAGTTGCTGCTAGATTTACACGTGCTGATATTTACACAAGGTATTTGGAGCTCAGGATGTCTCTTCAGTGCCTTCCAGGACATATTTTTGAGATACGGCTGGTACCAGCATCAAGAAAGTTCATAATGGGGATCTCCTGTTATATTAAGTTATGCCAACCTTCTTACTCATTCCATGATCTACAATAATAAGTCATAGAAAAAGTTGAGATTGACACATACCCATTCACATCATTTTTTATTAAATGTATCACAAGACTTAACAAAATATTCCAGCAATTCAAAAGAAAGAAAGAAAAACAATTGCGCACAATCATGTATAAGGGTAAAGAGATAAAACATATTTTTAAATAATAAAAAATAAACTTACACAAAAGCGGCAACATGGCAGTATTCCAAGACAGGACACAGGCATCAGATGAAATAATATTTGGGTGGGATTTGCCATCTGTGTGAAGTACATTACTTCTTGATCTGTGTAAGTTTATCCTTGAAAAATTCTATAAAGCCTTTTCTCAATTTAAATTTATTTAGTTCTACTTTATTTTGTTATTCAGGGAGTCAGCAGAGGAAAAAAGAAAGGTAGAAGAAGAGAAGAAGAAAAATAAAACAAAACAAAAAGAAAGAGCAAGAAAGCTACAGAGACTTATATACACCCGGGCTGAGGCAAATGATCCCCATCAAAGTCTAGCTCAGATGCATAAATCAAAGTTTAAAATACTCAGGTATTCTGCTATTGTAGCCTCCAAATCCTGACCCAATAGGTGCAAGATCATTAGTTCCGTAGCAGACCCTCAAAGTGTGTAACATAGTTTAGTCTTGCTGCTTCTATTTTTATTTTGCTGTCAAAGTTCATCATTAAATTCCATACCATTTCCATGTCATGGTATATTAAAAAAACAGGAAACATGAAAAGCAGAGAATGAAAGAATATCTCCAGGAGCTGGAAGAAATGGAAGAAAGAGTGAAAAAGAGGCCGCTGTTGTTGGAACAAGCCACACAGGT